CGTCCTGCGTCGCCTGAGTCTCGTCTAGAGTCGCCTGTCCGCGTTGTCCGCACTGGTCGTCGTGTTCCGCGTGAGCGTCCTCCTCCTGTCCCTGGCACTCACTATATGACTCTGCGTCCTTCCACTGCTCCACAGCGTGTCCCTCTGCCGTCTCCTCCTACGTCCTCTCTTCCTGACGGTCCGGACCCGGAGTCTGACTCCCTTCGTGCTGCCAGTCCTACTGTCACGCATTTCCTCGCTACTATTGTCACTGACCCTTCCTTTGAGTCCACTGCTGCGTCTGCTCTAGTGGCTGAGCTTGTTGACTTTGCTGCCGCCTGTCGTCTTGACTACGCCGCTAGCCTTGTTGCTGAGTCTGAGTCTTGTCAGAATGTTATAATTGTCTAGCCTGCAGTGGGGTACTCCATAGTGAGTACAGCCCAATTAGGGTTTGCTATATGTATCCAACTGCTTGCTAGTGAAACCCCTCCTTTTCTTCATTCCTGTTTCGTTCTTTCTGACATGGTTTCAGAGCAGGTCGACCCCCTTGGGTCGATCCTGTGGGTGGGCCCGCCACCTAACTGCTTCCGCTGCTGTTCTGCTTCTCGCGCGCCTCGGGCGCGCGCCGTCTTCCTCCTGCCGTGCGCCCCGAGGCGAGTGCGCTCGGGGCGCGCGGCGAGTTTCTGCCCGCCGTGCGCCCCGAGGCGCGCGGCGGTTTTCTGCCGTGGGGGATCCGCGCGCGCCCCCCCCCCGCCATCCCGTCGCCCGTCGCGGCGCCCAGGGGGGCCGCGCGTCGCCCTGCCCGTCGCCCGTCGCGGCGCCCTGGGGGCTAGCGCGTCGACCCCCCCCCTCCCGTCGCCCGTCGCGGCGACCTGGGGGGCCGCGTGTCGCCCCTCCCGTCGCCCGTCGCGGCGCCCTGGGGGGCCGCGCGTCCCCCCCTCCCGTCACTCGTCGAGGCGCCCTGGGGGGCCGCGCGTCGCCCCTCCCGTCGCCCGTCGCGGCGCCCTGGGGGGCCGCGCGTCCCCCCCTCCCGTCACTCGTCGAGGCGCCCTGGGGGCCCGCGCGCCGCCCCGCTTCCGCTCACACACCGCCCCAGCTGCTGCCCCCGTTTTTGCCCTGCGTTTGGGGGTATGGGGGTGGCAAGTATGGGGGTGGCGGGTGTGTGATCCGTCCCCTACACCTCCTCCTCCTCCGTTTCCCACTGCTGCAGCTGCCGCTGAGGGGGGTGGGTGTGTGGGAGCCGAGGGTTTAGGGTTTAAGGGGGGTGACGTGGAAGTGGAGCTAGGGTTTCTGCAGGGGGTGTGTGCAAGGGGTGTGGGACAGTTGGGGGAGGTTGCGTGGAGGTCGTCGTCGTGTCGCCAGCAGCGCCAGTAGTCCGGAGCCCTTGCTCTCGGTAGCTCAGAGAGTCTGATACTCCAGTGGTCCGGGGCCCTTGCTCCGGTAGCCACTGTGCCAGCCTGCGCCAGTCGCCCGTGGGTCCGTTGCTCCTGCCGCTCGTCGTAGCCACGGAGTCTGTTACTCCAGTAGTCCAGGGCCCTTGCTCCGGTAGCCACTGTGCCAGCCGCTTCTGTTGCCCGTGTGACTGTAGCTTCAGCCTTCGCCTCCAGTCTACTCTCCTCTCACAGTCACTCCTCCTCCTCACTTGCCCTCTGTGATAGCCTCTAGCTTTGCTTGTAATTGTGAACTATTACTATGCTTGCTTGTTGTGCTGATTACACCCCACTTTGGCTATGGGGGTGTGTCAGAAAGTTATAATTGTCTAGCCTGCAGTGGGGTACTTCATAGTGAGTACAGCCCAATTAGGGTTTGCTATATGTATCCAACTGCTTGCTAGTGAAACCCCTCCTTTTCTTCATTCCTGTTTCGTTCTTTCTGACAAGTCTGTCTATCCTCCGTCCGTCAGGGGTGAGTGTGCTCTTGGCACGGACGTCCTTGAGGACAGACAGGAGGAGTTTGAGTGCTTTGCCGCTGCTTTACCTCATCTCGTGTCCATGCTGATTGCCCCTGAGGGAGACCCGGATGCACCAGACATCCCGACCCCGCGCTCTTACGCAGAGGCGATAGAGGGTCCCTACTCCTCTCAGTGGCAGTCAGCCATGGACGCAGAGATGGCTTCCTGGAAGTCCACAGGCACCTACGTTGACGAGGTTCCCCCTCCTAGGGCGAACATCGTCAGTGGCATGTGGATTTTCAGGGTGAAGCGGCCGCCGGGTTCTCCGCCTGTCTTCAAGGCGCGTTACGTTGCACGAGGCTTCAGTCAGCGTGAGGGAGTTGACTTCTTCCAGACCTTCTCCCCTACCCCGAAGATGACCACTCTTCGGGTTCTGCTGCACGTCGCCACTCAGCGTGACTACGAGCTTCACTCTCTTGACTTCAGCACTGCTTTCCTACAGGGCAGCCTGCACGAGGAGATCTGGCTGCGCCGCCCACCTAGCTTCACCGGGTCGTTTCCTGCTGGTACCCAGTGGAGCCTCCGGCGGCCAGTCTACGGTCTCCGCCAGGCGCCCCGTGAGTGGCACGACACACTGAGGACGACTCTTGCTGCTCTTGGGTTTGCTCCTTCTACTGCGGACCCGTCGCTGTTTCTACGCACCGACACCACTCTGCCGCCGTTCTACGTTCTCGTGTACGTAGACGACCTGGTCTTTGCTACTGCTGACACTGAGGCACTCGCCCACGTGAAGTCGGAACTGCAGAAGAGACACACGTGCACAGAGCTGGGTGAGCTGACAAGCTATCTTGGCTTGCGGATCACCCGGGACAGAGCACAGCGCACCATTACCTTGACTCAGTCACACATGGTGCAGCAGGTCCTTCAGCGCTTCTGCTTCACGTACTCCTCGCCACAGTTCACTCCTCTGCCTACCGGTCACTCGCTCTCAGCTCCACCTTCGGACGAGTCCGTAGAGCCGAGTGGCCCGTATCTAGAGCTTGTGGGCTGCCTCATGTACCTGATGACCTGCACTCGACTTGACCTAGCCTACCCTCTTAGCATCCTAGCACGCTACGTCGCTCCTGGCCGACACAGGAAGGAGCACATGGATGCTGCTAAGAGGGTGTTGCGCTACTTGTGCAGTACGTCGGGCATGGGGCTCGTGCTTGGAGGGCGAGGTCCAGTGGTCCTCACTGGTCACGCAGACGCTTCTTGGGTTGACGACCAGGCTACGCAGCGGTCGTCACAGGGTTACACCTTCAGCCTTGGTTCCGGCTCTGTTTCGTGGCGGTCTACCCGCTCGTCTTCTGTTCTCAGCTCCAGCTGTGAGGCTGAGATCTACGCAGGGGCCATGGCTGCACAGGAGTTATGCTGGCTCACCTACCTGCTGACCGACCTGGGAGAGCCGCCTCGCTCTCCTCCAGTTCTGTACGTAGACAACAAGGCCATGCTGGCCTTGTGTCAGGAGCACAGACTGGAGCACAGAACGAAGCACATTGCTCTTCGCTACTTCCTTGCACGTGAGCTGCAGCAGCGTGGTCAGCTGCGCCTTGTTTACGTGGCCTCTCCGGCCAACACTGCTGATATCTTTACCAAGGCACTTCAGCCTTGTGATCATCAGCGCTTCTGTACTATGTTAGGTCTTGTGCCTACCTGGCCTCACTTGCTTACCACTTGACTTTGCTTTGTACTGTGATCTATATATACCTGCACCTGCCTGTTTACCTTTGCTAGGTTGCGATCACTGTCTTGCTTGTTCACCTTGATTTATAATCCTGCATGTGAACTGGCCTTGTGGCCTTTGAACTTGTGCTCGGAATGTGTGGTGACGTTGTGATCCACCCTGAGCTTGCCTTGCTTGACTGGTCTTGTGACCCCTTGTTCTCCCCCACTTTGCCTATGGGGGTGTGTCAAACATTCATGCTATAGTCTTTCTAGGCTGTAGTGGGGTAGACACTATGGGGTACAGTTTTCTAGGGTTTCATATTTGTACCCAACTCATTTTCCTAGTCAATCATTTTTCCTCGTATTATTCTCACAACCCAACCCTTTGCTAGTCATTTATTTCACTACGTGCTATTCTGAGAGGTGTTAGCATTATAGTGAGTGGTCGTGACGCCGTCAGAAGAATGGAAAGCTTTGTCACGACACGTCGATTTGGTAGGAATGTCAAGTACACGATCATGCGTTTTCGTATGGCCCTCTTCGTGCTTTCATCGCAACTTATGCCAAGAAAAGGAGAAGCATGCAGGTTTTCCAACTGCTCTCATGTTTTGCTTACCATCACACCATTTGCTGAAAACCGTACCTAAGAAACAAGTGGAGTATCCCTCGTGCTGATTGAACGTGCAGCACGTGAGCAGAGAGTGAAGGGAACCGAATTCGGAACTCGTCAACTTGCTGAAGGTGAAATTCGTTACAGTGTTTTGACAAATCTCAGATAAAAGATCAATGCGGGCTAAAAGAAAGTACCCCGCGCTTATAGCCAATGACCGGATATCACGTTTGTGCTCCAGATTTAAGCGGTTGCGCCTAACCTAAGAGTGTGCCTATATACGGGGAAATGATCATGCTGCTGTCCGTGCACACCACGTCTTCCGCCATGTTCATTCACCGTCCGTAGTATGTCAGCAGTGACTCCTCATCCCTCCGCCTAAACTCCTGGAATTCCCTGATGCGCGCCGCCGTATGCCCAGGGAACTGCTTCCTTAGTCGCTCCAGGAACAGTACCGTCGGGTCCTCGTCATCCTCTTCTGCCCTCCTCAGCCATTCACCAATCTTCATGCGATACAAAGTCTCTGCTTCCCCTCCCAACGTGCTTGGCAGGCTCAGGAAAAACTCGATCGGTCCATCCCGCGTCTGTCGCATCGGTATGTAACATTGCTGGTCTGCATCAAATAATTCTTCAGACTTGGGCCGGTTTTCTCGTTTCCCGTGAAGCGTACTGGCACCTCCACTCGCGGCTGTGCTGTTGCGCCCCACTTCCCTGTTTCCCAGCTCTCCGTCCCTCCTCGCTCAGACATCATAACCCCTCTCCTCCTTTCCTTTTCTCCCCTGCTGCCCGTGCTGGTTCCGTACAGCACTTGCTCTATTCCTTCCCTAGCCGCTCTTGCTCCTGCAGATCCTTCGCCGTGACGCCCAGGCCTCCTCGGGCACATCGGGCTGGGGCTCCTCCCTCGGGCATCTTCACGCTCCCCCCAGCGCCTCTCTGCATCTTCCCGACGCTTCTCTCCCCTTGCAGGGGACCGCTCCTGGCACCGCCGCACTCTGTCCTCTCGCTGTCGCTCCTTCTCTGCTGCCCTCGAGACTTCTGGTGACCGCACACCTTCTCTCTTGCCTCGCCTGTCCTCTTCGCGCTCCCTTTCTCTTTCTGGTGCGCCACCCGCCTCTTTCCTTGTAATCTCCACGCTCTTCCCAGCCTCGGTGCTCCTGATCCCGTCTTCCCGTTTCTCCTTCCCTTCCTGCCTCTTCACCCCGCTGGTATTGCTCTCCTTCGCCCCTCCTCACACGTCTCTCTCTCTCTCGGGCCACCTTCTTGCTTCTCCGCCCGTTTCCTTTGCAGCCCTCCTCTCTACCCGCAGGTGTTCTTCTGCTTTCTCACGACGCGCTCCCGCATCTGCCTCTGAGGCGTTGGGTGACGAACGTTCGCTACCCCTGCCTCGCGCCTTCCCCTCCGGCCGCCGCCTCCTTGCTGGCGAGTGCTGAACGTGCCTTCCTTCGTAATCCTCGTCCTCCTCCTCTTCCGACCACTCCGGCGATCTCCTTCCTCCCATTGCCATACGCCTCCTGCCCGCCCGGCTTTGTCCTGGCTCGGGCGAACGATACACTCCTGCTGGCGCAGCACGGCTCTTCTCCTCCTCCCCTCGCTCCCTTGACAAGGGCTCAGCTGCTTTGCTCCTGCTGCGCCTCGCTTCACCTCCACACGGTCCCTTGGGCGAGTGATCTGCCGCCATGTTCCCCTGGCGTTTCGCGCCACTCCCGCGCATCTCCTCTGGTGCACGATCCGCATGCGCCACGTTCCCCTGGCGCCTCGCGCCACTCCCGCGCATCTCCTCTGGCGCACGATCTGCATCCTCGATTTGCCCCTGGCGCCTCGCATCACTCCCGCGCATCTCCTCTCGCGCACGATCTGCATCCGCGATTTGCCCCTGGCGCCTCGCATCACTCCCGCGCATCTCCTCTGGCGCACGATCTGCATCCGCGATTTGCCCCTGGCGCCTCGCGTCACTCCCGCGCATCTCCTCTGGCGCACGATCTGCATCCGCGTCCTTGTTCTCGTTGTCGCGCTCTTCTTCCGCAACCCCTTCCTTCTCCTCCTCGCCGTCGGCCTCGCTTGCCGAATCCGACGAGTCCGCCATGCCCGCGTAGTCGCGACGCCTTTCACCCGCTCCTTGCTGGCCGCCTGCCAGATTCCAAGGATTGCTGCAGGACGGTCTAGGCCTGGTCTTCGTCCGCACGTGCAGATTGGTCGCCTCCTTCTTGTCGTCCTCCCACGGGTGTCACCAGATCCGCGCGGTACGCCGCCCTCCGTGGCGAACGCGTCCGCAATCTCCCACGCTCTAATGAGCGCATCCTCGGCGACGGCGACAATTCCCGCCGCGAGTTCATCTGCTGTCAGCGCAGCTCGTGGCAGTCCATACTGCCGAATTTTCTCTCATCTTGTGAGAGATTCAGGCTCCCACACGCAGGCCGCCCACAGTGGCGCAGTCACTTAGCTTAAGTAGCTTTAAAACGGTAACACTAAACCACTATACGAGGCGAACAAGAGGAGAGATAAGGTTTGCTATGCTAGGCTAGGCTATTTGTGCTTGGCTGCCCAGTCGCGGGTAACTCAGCGTGCTGGGTTGAGCTCGAGCCGCCTGGGCCTTGGATCGGCCCTCGCCTGATTGCCTGTCTCCCGAGGTTCCTGAAATTGTCCCCGAAGTGCCCTGTAACCCCAAAGGCTACCAACTTCTCGCTACTCTCTATAACCCAACTACCCCTCATGCAGATTGAATAACACTCGCTACACCACTTCTACACCCAACTAGCACATGTCTCCAATATGATGCACTTGCCATTATATTCGGTGACAATCCGCCTCGGAACACGCTTGCGTGAAGTTGCGTGCCTGGTCGCAGTTGGGTTTAGGGTTGTGCCAGAGCACCCCTTCACATTGTTGTGTTTTAAGTGCGGAAAGCTGAGTCACATATCTAGAAAATGCCTCGACAAGACACAGGGAAAGAGCTGGGAAATGAGAAGAGTTAGTAACAGACGGCCCCTTAATGACTGCTCTCTGTCGCCCAAACCTCACCATCCCCACCGAGTTGTGGTTCCAATTCATGCAATCGATTGCACTCTGATGAATAATGGGGGTCATGTGGATCACTAGTGCTGGTTGTCGACATGGTTGCTAAGAACAAAATAATGTGAGTCAATGCCTAGTCACAACCATTTTAACCTTGGGACAGCAAAAACATTACTTTTACCTCAGGTGTCTGCTCGAGATCAACGCTCGCCTAGTGGTTGGGCGCATCTGGCGACTAAGGAGAATACATGAATGGATCGGATTGAGTGCGGCGACGATTTCGGCTTTAGCATGAAGTTTCTCGCATCAACGTTGAACGGTTGCGACGTGTTACGATAATGAATTCACTTGAGCATTCCTGTACGTAACAAGCAAAAAACACTACCGAGGACGAAGACCAAGGGTGGAGATGATATGAAGCGTCGAAGGTAGATGAAGCATCGAGACCGATGCAGCAGAGGCATTCGAAAAGGAATTGGTGGGGGGAGGTTCAAAACAGGTTCCCCCGCCGCACAGTCGAGACTTGATGTGATAAGGGAATGTACCCCTTAGAGTACATGGCTAGCTAGAACTTTTCGTATTCCTTTGCAATCTTATATAAACCTATTTATGTTTTGCTCTAATCACTTCTATCATTTTACATTCACCTTAACAGGTGTCACTAATCATTTCCGATGTGCATCACCCTGCAATCAACCCTGAGCAAGATCTAGACTAAGTCCCCCGTGGGATTGTTACGCGATGTACTCATGGGGCGCGATTGGCTACGACGACACACACACACACATACATATACACACACACACACACACATATACACACACACACACGCATACACACACACACATACACACACACACGTACACACATACACACACACACACATACACATACACACACATACACACACACACATACACACACACACACATACACACACACACACACACACACATACACACATATACACATACATACATATACGCACACACATACATATATATACTATTATTATTATCCAGGACAAGCATGTCCACGCGCCAAAACAAGAGTGATCAAATCCATATGTTTGTTGCCAATAAGGTAATCCACTTGTTGTTACCAGGGACAATTGTAGTTTTAAAGCCCGTCTGAAGATCAGACCGGGTTTTTTTACTTCGTCTGAGCATCAGACGATTTTGTTTGTTGCAGTCTGCTTTTTCAGACGAAATCATATCAAGAGTCTGAGGTTTCATACGATTTGTATGAATTTTTTTTTCAGGTGCGTCCTTGTATAAGGTAAGCGAGACACCCAATAAGACAGTGAAAACATGATGGATTTCCCGTAATGATCTAGCAAAGATCCAACGGTTTTTTACATAGGGAAATGTCAATGACAAAGATTGCATCGTTAATACATTTCGCGTAAGGGAAGCACATAAATACATGAATCGGACGAAAAAATACTCGTTGTCTGCATATTCATATGGAGTGTTATAACATTGTTAGAATCTAAGAACGAACGAGAATGATGAAACTAGCAGAAAGTTATGTACAAGTAGGAAACCCTAAGTTTGTTGTACCCCCTAAGGCTAAACCCACTATAGCCTACACAATGTAAACATATAATGTTTGACACACCCCCATAGGCTAAGTGGGAGACAACCAGACGGTCACAAGACCAGTCAAAGCAAAGCAAGCAAAGCAAAGCTCAGGGTGGATCTCAAAGATACCACACAAATTCCGAGCACAAGCAAGCGGTCACAAGACCAGTTCACATGCAGTTTGATAATAAACAAGAGGTACAGTGATCACAACCTAGCAAGAGTAAGCATGCAGGTATATATATAGAGATCACAGTACAAGCAGAGTCAAGAAGTGAGCAAGTGAAGGACAGTAGGCACAAGGCCTAGAACAGTACAGAAACGCTGATGATCATAAGGCTGAAGCGCCTTGGTGAAAACATCAGCAGTGTTGGCCCGAGTGGCCACGTACGAAAGACGAAGCTGACCACGCTGCTGCAGCTCTCGAGCAAGGAAGTAGCGCAGAGCGATGTGCTTCGTTCTGTGCTCCAGTCTATGCTCCTGACACAAGGCAAGGGCGGCCTTGTTGTCGACGTACAGCACTGGAGGAGAACGAGGCCGCTCTCCCAGGTCGGTCAGCAGGTAGGTGAGCCAGCGAAGCTCCTGGGCAGCCATGGCTGTGGCGTAGATCTCAGCCTCACAACTGGAGCTGAGAACAGAGGAAGAGCGTGTAGAACGCCAAGAAACTGAGCCAGAGCCAAGGCTGAAGGTGTAACCCTGAGACGACCGCTGAGTAGCCTGGTCGTCAGCCCAAGAAGCGTCTGAGTGTCCAGTGAGGACAACGTCGCGCCGTCCTCCAAGCACAAGCCCCATGCCCGACGTACTGCACAAGTACCGCAACACCCTCTTAGCTGCATCCATGTGCTCCTTCCGGTGACGGCCAGGAGCGACATAGCGTGCTAGGATGCTAAGAGGGTAGGCTAGGTCAGGTCGAGTGCAGGTCATCAGGTACATGAGGCAGCCCACAAGCTCTGGATACGGGCCACTCGGCTCTACGGACTCATCCGAAGGCAGAGCTGAGAGCGAGTGACCGGTAGGCAGAGGAGTGGGCTGAGGCGAGGAGTACGTGAAGCGGAAGCGCTGAAGGACCTGCTGCACCATGTGTGACTGAGTCAAGGTGATGGTGCGCTGTGCTCTGTCCCGGGTGATCCGTAAGCCAAGATAGCTTGTCAGCTCACCCAGGTCTGTGCACGTGTGTCTCTTCTGCAGCTCCGACTTCACGTGGGCGAGTGCCTCAGTGTCAGCAGTAGCAAAGACCAAGTCGTCTACGTACACGAGAACGTAGAACGGCGGCAGAGTGGTGTCGGTGCGTAGAAACAGCGACGGGTCAGCAGTAGAAGGAGCAAACCCAAGAGCAGCAAGAGTAGTCCTCAGTGTGTCGTGCCACTCACGGGGCGCCTGGCGGAGACCGTAGACTGGCCGCCGGAGGCTCCACTGGGTACCAGGAGAGAACGACCCAGTGAAGCCAGGTGGGCGGCGCAGCCAGATCTCCTCGTGCAGGGTGCCCTGTAGGAACGCAGTGCTGAAGTCAAGGCAGTGGAGCTCATAGTCACGCTGAGCAGCGACGTGCAGCAGAACCCGAAGAGTGGTCATCTTCGGGGTCGGGGAGAAGGTCTGGAAGAAGTCAACTCCCTCTCGCTGACTGAAGCCTCGTGCAACGTAACGCGCCTTGAAGACAGGCGGAGAACCCGGCGGCCGCTTCACCCTGAAAATCCACATGCCACTGACGATGTTCGCCCCAGGTGGGGGAACCTCGTCGACGTAGGTGCCTGTGGACTTCCAGGAAGCCATCTCTGCGTCCATGGCTGTCTGCCACTAAGAGGAGTAGAGACCCTCCATCGCCTCTGCGTAGGAGCGTGGGGTCGGGATGTCTGGTGCATCCGGGTCTCCCTCAGGGGCAATCAGCATGGACACGAGATGAGGTAAAGCAGCAGCAAAGCACTCAAACTCCTCCTGTCTGTCCTCAAGGACGTCCGTGCCAAGAGCACACTCACCCCCGACGGACGGAGGACAGACAGACTCAGACTTAGCAACAAGGCTAGCGGCGTAGTCTAGACGACAGGCGGCAGCAAAGTCAACAAGCTCAGCTACGAGACCAGACGCAGCAGAGGACTCAAAAGTAGGGTCAGTGACAACAGTGGCAAGGAGACGCGCGACAGTAGGACTGGCAGCACGAGTAAGGTCTGACGGCGGGTCAGCAACGTCAGGAAGAGAGGACGCAGGAGGAGACGGCAGAGGGACGCGCTGTGGAGCAGTGGAAGGACGCAGGGTCATATAGTGAGTGCCAAGGACAGGAGGAGGACGCTCACGCGGAGCACGACGACCAGCGCGGACAGCGCGGACAGGCGACTCTGGACGCGACTCAGGCGACTCTGGACTAGACTCAGGCGACGGAGGACGAGACTCAGGCTCACGACGCTCAGTAAGACTACCCGTCGGCGCAGTGTAAGGAGAAGGACCAGGCAGCGGAGAGGCAGGCTGTAGCTGTGACTGGACAAGCGGTGGACTC